GTTCACATCAGTGAATGTATTAAAAAGGAATAGCTGACTTTGGTTGTTTAGATGCTAATGCTATAGATTTCAATTATTGTTAACAGAAAAAATCAACTGATCCACAGTGTCCATTCAGGTTGTGATTTTTTCTAAGGTTTAATTTCCAGTAGTTAGCATCATCCAGAGGCAAGGGAGATTACTGACTGTAAAATTCCAGATTTCACCCTTGCCGAACTAGGCTGGAATTTCCGGGCTTAATTATAGCATCACCAGTGGCTATTTCGAGTTATGTCCCTTCAATGTACCTCCTATTGGCCAATCAGAATCCACCTCTTATATCAATTGCATTTGCTTAAAAACAAAAATGGTGATGCCCAGTGAAGACAATTGGATCGATAATCAAGATCTATATTGTAATAAAATGGTTTTGCTTCACCAATATATATCTATTTTAGAAATTTAAATAGTAACTATAACAGATTGTATATTATTAGATTCTATGTTATACTTGCTTATGTTGTACTTTCATTGTTTCAGGCTAAAGTAAGTATGTACGTACGTAAGTCCATGCATCAATACAAATATAAATAAACGTCATCAGCCTCACCCCCCACAGCTGTTGGTGATTATTGGGTAGTAGATCACCTACTCTACTATTGGCTAACACACGGTTACAATAACAAGAAAAGATTTGGTAAATATCTGCTGATGCTGAGATGTCGGTACACATGCTTTGCAAATGCTGCAATTGACCGGGTAGTTTACAAACCTGATGTCGATTTCGTTTTGCAATTTTTTTTGACTAAGCATAGACTTGTTAGTCTGGCCAAAATGTAAACACCATAATTCCAGCCTGGTTCGGCAAGGGTGGAAACTGGACTTTTATACAACCCATGTTCAGGACTTTGAAATGTGGGCCCCAATGTATGCACAGTTACATCTTCTCCCTAACTACCATCTTCCCGAGGCAAGGGAGTTAACTGACTATAAAACTGTCTCCAAACGTCCGTTGCATGGGGGCGGCCATGTTTGTCTTCAAACTTAGGTTGGTCTCGAAAAGTAGGTTGGTGATATTTATATAGGGCGTGGGCGCTTTGGAAAACAGGTGTTATACCGTGGTATATTGTTACTTTCTATCTTTTTTAGAACTATTAAGAAGCCGATCTACACTTTTGTCGCCGAAAGTACCCTTCTGTCTCGTCTAAATTCATTGTTAAAAAGCGTTAAGAAATTGTCTCCAAACGTCCTGTTGCATGGGGGCGGCCATGTTTGTCTCCAAAAGTAGGTTGGTCTCGAAAAGTTGGTTGGTGATTTTTTTAATATGGGCGTGGGCGCTTTGGAAAACAGGTGTTACAGAGTGGTATATTGTCACTTTCTATCTTTTTTAGAACTATTAAGATGCCCATCTACACTTTTGTCGCCGAAAGTACCCTTCTGTCTCGTCTAAATTCATTGCTAGAACGCTTTGAAAAATTGTCTCCAAACTTCTGTTGATGGCGGCCATTTTGGTCTCGAAAAGTAGGTATGTCTCGAAAAGTAGGTTGGTGATATTGATATAGAGCGTGGGCGCTTTGGAAAACAGATGTTATACCGTGGTATATTGTTACTTTCTATCTTTTTTAGAACTATTAAGATGTCCATTTACACTTTATCGCCGAAAGTACCCTTCTGTCTGGTCTAAATTTATTGTTAAAAAGCGGTTAAAAATCGTCGCCAAACGTTTGTTGATGGCGGCCATTTTGGTCTCGAAAAGTAGGTATGTCTCGAAAAGTAGGTATGTCTCGAAAAGTAGGTTGGTGATATTTATATAGGGCGTGGGCGCTTTGGAAAACAGGTGTTAAACCGTGGTATATTGTCACTTTCTATCTTTTTTAGAACTATTAAGATGTTGGACTACTTAAAGGTATATGAACCTGTGACCTCTTGAGCTGTGTTTCTGCGATCTGTTCCAGGATCCAAACCTTTTTTTTCAGCTCTAACACACCATTTTTCAGCCATCTGTGACTCTTGAGGTAGTTGTCCGATTTCTCTCAATGTTCGATGCCATTGTGGGTTATATACAGACTCAAAGGTCTGAAGATTTAAGCCTAATACTATAAATTAATTAATTAAAACTGATTTAACGTGTTCCCAAACAGTCCAAGGAATGCATGATATTTTGGAGTCTTTGATTTAAGTCCTAGGTCACATGGGGTGGCAGCTATGTTAGATTCATGATTGAAAGTATGTTCGGAATTCTCATGCAGTCTAGAGTGTCTGAATGCATGGTTAACGACATTTAAAGCACGGAGCCGTGAGCCTCGGAGCTGGAGGATTGTTGGAGGGTATGGTCGGTGTGTTATTGCCAATGACCACCACGATCACGAAACGCGTTGTCGGGTATTTGTTTCATCATATTTCCACAATTGTATTATTACTCTACGACATAATTTATTCTTTGATGGCCTTATTCAGGCTTATTAGATGGTTTTAGAAGTGGTATGAAAATGGCCTCTGAAAGCCTGACTATTTAAATAGTGTCACATACGGACCCTGACAAAAGAATATACGAACATGTGGAAAATTAGCTCCTTTCTATTATGTATATATAAATAACAATTTAGTAAAATACATATTTTATATATTTTATTATAGCAGCATATAGTAGCCAATACGTATATGCCGTGGGCGAATGGGGGCACGGGTGGCCCAGTCGTCTAAGCCGCCGGGATTCGCTTTGCAGAGTTGCGGCCCTTGGGCACGCCAGTAACCTATGATTGTGGGTTCGACTCCTCGATTATGTTTCTAGGTTTGACAGCACCATACCCGTGCTCGTGGGTTTCACCGAAGTGGTAAACGTCTGAGACCTGCATCACTTCGCGATTTCCACCCACATTAAGCTGACATTAAAAGCGGCGTTAAACCAAACTCACTCACCGTGGGTGAATTGACACTGTAAGATGACATGGTGTTCATTGAATACATTGTCACCCTTGAATGAGGACTAGTCGGAGAGGTATGGTGGTATGGCATATTGGGAAATGAAAATGTAGAGACGTGGGTAAGATAAGAGGTGTAACAACGGTAATGTTATAAGATTACAATTTGTACCAGGAAATACTTAAAAAACAATTGCCTCAACTTCTACACACAAAATAATGATTAAAGGACGTGTTGGATGTGGTGAAAATATTGCGTTGAGAAAGAAAGTCGGACCCTCCTATTAGAACGTTTTTTTTCTATGAAGCAGGGGGAAAATGTGTACGATGAAAATAAAATTATTTTATTTTAGTGGTTGTTAATGCCATTGTGAAATCTGTATTATCTTAAATAAGAATGAAATAACAAACACGTCATAAATATGCAACCTGACATAAAATTGCGAAACAATATACATACTTCTAGCCTCTATACACATTAAAATTCTCACATAGATATTCCTCACCACACTAATTGGGAACAAGGAGAATTCCTAGACACTCCAAAATCGAAGACAAAATTAAGGGAACTCGTAGACAAAAGACATATGGTAGGGAAATATACTCAACTATTGATTTATTACATATAGATATTGAATTATTATGTGGCAAATGTATTTCAAATAGTACGTTTTAAATGACAATAAATATCATTGCTATCATCTTGTCCCTCTCTGCTTGGATATACATGTATGTACCTATTTACAAAGGATACTGCTAATGCTTTCAAAACAAAAGGACGGTAATCCCCTACTCGCCACTTACCGGATTATTAATTTATTTACAAAGCGGCCTTACCATATCTTTTATTTAACACTTTTAAAATAAAAAAAAAACAACAACATGCAAACGAAACACTCAGAAACATAAACGAAACCGGTATGCCGATAAGTGATGATAATAATATTTCTAAGATTACTTATCATCATTCAATTCCAATATCTAAATTCACTCCCGGTTTGTCTTCGAGGTGGCGGTGTTTACGAATTCACCACACTCCGTCGCAGTGGTGACTCAGCATAACACCACTGCCACAGGCTAATTTGCATATCACGTGACCGGACTTTTCTCTTGTTTGTAAACAAACGCGCTTTTTCAGAAATCAGTATAGAACGGACTAATGCAAGTATTTGGGGGCGCTTTACATATTGTTTTGCATAACTATATAGATGTGCTACTACAACTGCGACAGTGAGTTGCATGACAATATATATTTATGCATCAAAGTGACCGTGTCGCTAGCTCTCCGTTGGGCTTCGATGACAGCACGTGGAGCCGTACAACCAATGTAAACATAGGATAACTACACAAAAACAAGTAGATTTTTACGTATTTGCATACTTTCTCAATGAAAGTTAACCATTCTTTGACATTTGTTTATGAAAATGTGTAGACTTGTCAAACATGAAACGGATGAAAAGCATATACAATATCTTGAATGGACTGTGAAAGATGTGACGAATCGTCACATGGCGCTGGCCTCACTCTCCTACCCAGAGTTCCATGCGGCCGGCAGCCAGCTAGCATAGTACCTCTGCCACAGGCCAGCGCCATGTGACGATTCGTCACATCTTTCACAGTCTACACATTTTCATAAACAAATGTCAAAGAATGGTTAACTTTCATTGAGAAAGTATGCAAATACGTAAAAATCTACTTGTTTTTGCGTAGTTATCCTATGTTTACATTGGTTGTACGGCTCCACGTGCTGTCATCGAAGCCCAACGGAGAGCTAGCGACACGGTCACTTTGATGCATAAATATATATTGTCATGCAACTCACTGTCGCAGTTGTAGTAGCACATCTATATAATTATGCAAAACAATATGTAAACCGCCCCCAAATACTTGCATTAGTCCGTTCTATACTGATTTCTGAAAAAGCGCGTTTGTTTACAAACAAGAGAAAAGTCCGGTCACGTGATATGCAAATTAGCCTGTGGCAGTGGTGTTATGCTGAGTCACCACTGCGACGGAGTGTGCGCTGGCCTGTGGCAGAGGTACTGTGCTAGCTGGCTGCCGGCCGCATGGAACTCTGGGTAGGAGAGTGCGAATTCACTGCATCAATGTTTTATAACATTTGTTTGCCAGGCGACAGAGCGATAACAGCGCACATGTATCAGCCGAACGCACATAGAATAACAGTCAAACGCGCGATACGAAGAGCTATACCACTCGATAAAAGCGGTACGCTTCCGCGGTCTCGAAAAGTATGTAAAATAGCGACGACCGGTTGCTTGGCCGCAAAATTGCAAATACTTTCAAAATGGTTTGGAGAGCTAGAATCGGATATTTCATTCGGACATACGGGTTGGGAACAGCTGGTGCGATAACTGCATTAAGTATTTTATCACACGAGAAATCAAAAGATAAAAACGTTGCTTATTCAGCCAAACGTGAATGGTCCTACTCATTTGAACCAAGTGTGAAGTGGGACTACAACTGGGACAGGTACGAGAGCTACTATTTATTCTTAGACTAGCTACCTAGTATATTGTAGTAGAATACATCATTGACTCCTTCCCTGGAGAAGATTGTGATGATCATTTAATCGATATCAATGTCATGATGATGTGTCGGGGTCGTCTGCACAGTAAACAGGTATCCTGTTTATCAAAACCACAATACAATTGTTCATTTCCAGTGCTGTAATATTAACAGCTCTGACAACAGGATTGTATTTTTTATAATAAACAGAACTCTTGCAGTATGTGCAGTTTTGATTTTGTAAAGATCTCTTAAATTACTGAACTTTGGCATGTATGGTTCTCCCTTATATGATGACGTCATGTTTGTTCAAATCATTCAGACTTTAGTGTGTTGTTGTAAAACAGTTGTACAAATTGTATGGCATTAGAGAAAGTATTGTCCATAGAATGTTTTTAGGTGGCTGTATTTGTTGACAGCATGTGTCCAGGTGAGCTACAGTGCCGTGAGTCCAGTATATTTATCATTATAGAATGAAGATATAAGACCCAGGATAATCACAATTGCTTACTGTTACTGATTTAAGTTTTTAGAGTATATCAGGATTCAAATTCAACATATATTCTATCCTGTCCACAGTCTTGTGTTCATTTCCAGTTGTGGTCCAGACACCATAATTTTTGTATTGTCCTGTATGAAACCCATGAGACATTGTTTCTGTGTAATAAGGGTGATTGTTAAGTTTCTGATGGATATACATCCTTATATTTGAATCAACAGGCAAACAAATTACTCTTAGAATGACTTGAATTAAACTTGCTGGGCCTGCTAGCTGCCCCACTTTAGGCCACTATGTACTTAATGTGCTGAGAACTGCTGCTTTAACAATACAAAGTATAAGTTGTCATATTAAGTAAAATCAGTGAAAAGAAACAGTTGCAAAAAGGAATGGATGGAATAAATTCAAAGATTATTTGAAGTTTATATGAAGTTTATTTCATCTGTGTTTCAGACGTGAGCCAGAAAACCTTGTGAAACCCTCCAAACAAAACACAGAGAAGGATCCAGATACAGTAGCAAATGAACTGAAATCCAAGACTGCAACAGCTACACGTCATCTGTTGCTGATTCGTCATGGCCAGTACAACCGACATGACATTGACATTGGCAGATTCCTCACAAAACTGGGTACATGTCATGCCAGGAACAGCATTCCTGTTTTGGTTTTTTATCTTCCTGGGGGATAGGGTACCAGTCATCTATGGTGTGGCAATTTTCTGTGCAGTTGCATCCCTTGGGCATGCTAGAAGCTTATGATTGTAGTTTTGAATGTCAGTTTGCCCCAGATATGTTTCTAGGTTTGTGAGCACCCTACCCATGCTCATGCGTTGCACCAAAGTGATAAGCGACTAGACCTGTATCATTTGAGGCTTTCCTCCAACATTAAACATTTAAAAAGTGGAATACTGTTCAGAGAGACATTAAACCCAACTCACTCACTCACTCCTGGAGTCTGTATTCAGACCCTGTATCTTCCTAGAGTCCTGTGGATCCAGCCTTAGCCTAGAAACACCAACAATGCACAAGTCCTTCACGAGATTATTTTCAAGCTAATCCTTTTTTGGTTTGGTTTGTTGTTTTACGCCGCACTCAGCAATATTCCAGCTATATGACGGCAGTCTGTAAATAATCGAGTCTGGACCAGACAATCCATTGATTGACATCATGATCATCGATCCACGCAATTGGGATCGATGATCATGCATCAACCAAGTCAGCGAGCCTGACCACCCGATCCCGTTAGTTGCCTCTTACGACAAGCATAGTCACCTTTTATGGCAAGCATGGGTTGCTGAAGATATTCGTAACATATTCCAGTTGCATGGAGCGATGCTCATGATGTCAATCCCTGGATTGTCTGATCCAGACTCGATTATTTACAGACCACTGTCATATAGCTGGAATGAGTGCTGAGTAGAGCGTTCAACAACACAGAAAGAAAGAAAATCTTTGTGTCTGCAGATATTAAGAAATATTACCATGGAATGTGCAGGCACACATGAATATGTTCAGTTAGAAAATGGGATCTGCCATTTGCTTTTTGTGTCAAATCCATTGTTTGAACCCCACAGGCCAAGAACAAGCAGACATTACCGGCAGGCGTCTGAAGGATCTGAACCTACCCTACACCGTCTTTATCTCATCGACAATGACGCGAGCAAAGGAGACAGCTGACATTATTCACAAGCATGTGCCTCACTTGTCTATACAACGGAATGACTTGTTGCGAGAGGGCGAACCAATACCCCCAGAGCCTGCCTCAGCTCATTGGAGGCCAGAAGTAGCGGTAGGTCCACACTTAGATCTGCATAGTAGCTCTCGACTTAGTAGTCTGTAGCTCTCGACTTACTAGTCTGTAGCTCCTGACTTTAGTAGTCTGTAGCTTTCGGCTTACTAGTCTGAAGCTCTCGACTTAGTTGTCTGTAGATCCTGACTTAGTAGTCTGTAGCTCCTGACTTAGTAGTCTGAAGCTCTTGACTTAATAGTCTGAAGCTCTCGACTTAGTAGTCTGTAGCTCCTGACTTAGTAGTCTGTAGCTCCTGACTTAGTAGTCTGAAGCTCTCGACTTAGTAGTCTGTAGCTCCTGACTTAGTAGTCTGAAGCTCTCGACATAGTAGTCTGTTGCTCTCGACCTACTAGTCTGTAGCTCTCGACTTAGTAGTCTGTAGCTCTCAACTTTTTAGTCTGTAGCTCTCGACTTACTAGTCTGTAGCTCTCGACTTAGTAGTCTGTAGCTCCTGACTTACTAGTCTGTAGCTCTCGACTTAGTAGTCTGTAGCTCCTGACTTAGTAGTCTGTAGCTCCTGACTTAGTAGTCTGAAGCTCTCGACTTAGTAGTCTGTAGCTCCTGACTTAGTAGTCTGAAGCTCTCGACATAGTAGTCTGTTGCTCTCGACCTACTAGTCTGTAGCTCTCGACTTAGTAGTCTGTAGCTCTCAACTTTTTAGTCTGTAGCTCTCGACTTACTAGTCTGTAGCTCTCGACTTAGTAGTCTGTAAATCTCGACTTACTAGTCTGTTGCTTTCAACTTAGATCTCGGCTTGCTAGTCTGTAGCTCTCGATATGTTGGTCTGTAGCTCTTGACTAAGTAGTATGTAGCTCTCAACTCTTTAGTCTGTAGCTCTCGACTTAGTAGTCTGTAGCTCTCAACTTTTTAGTCTGTAGCTCTCAACTTAATAGTCTGTAGCTCTCAACTTTTTAGTCTGTAGCTCTCGACTTACTAGTCTGTAGCTCTCAACTTAATAGTCTGTAGCTCTCAACTTTTTAGTCTGTAGCTCTCGACTTACTAGTCTGTAGCTCTCAACTTTTTAGTCTGTAGCTCTTGACTTAGCGTCATTTGTGCAGTCAGTACCAGATTTAGTATACTGTATGTACAAAGATGGTTTTCAGATATCAGGATGTTTCATTGGAAAATGTCAATGTTTATTAATGAGGCTTTTTATGAAAAGTGGCTTTTTAAGAAAATTGTTGGTACTTGTAAAGATCAGAAAATTCTTGGACTGTCCATGTCAAGTGAAATGTCACATCTCTTGTGATTCAGCAGAATACATTGTAGTGTCCAGTAATCTGGAGGATCTCGTCATCACTGTGTGGTTTATTGTGTGTGTTTAGTTCACCCATTGAGTGCACCATTCTTACAATGTCTTACTTCTAGCAGTTTTACAAAGAAGGGGCCAGAATTGAAGCAGCCTTTCGAAAATATTTCCACCGAGCTGAGCCGGACCAGACGGAGGACAGCTATGAGATCATCGTCTGTCACGCTAATGTCATCCGCTACTTTGTCTGCAGGTAATGGAGGTCTTTAACTGTGATCTGTTCTTTCTTTGTGCACTGTGTGTTTGTGTATTTCCATGGGGCTGCTACTGTACTTTGCATGTGATAAAAAATATGTTTTACATCTAGAACCAGAGTTGCATCCCTTGGACATGCCAGAAAGTTTCATTCTGAACAGAGCTCTTTATTTTCCTGAATTGCATATAATTACGTTCAACAGATTTAAAATTTAAGAGCATGTCCAGGTTGTTATTTTTGTCGTTATGTTTTCAGAGCCCTGCAGTTCCCTCCCGAGGGTTGGCGACGAATGTCTCTCGCTAACGGCAGCATCACGTACCTCGTCATCCGTCCCAGTGGCCAAGTCCACATCAAGACTCTCGGAGAGAGCTGGCACATGCCCGTAGATAAAGTCACCTACACATAGACACACATTCATTCCGGCAGGGATTATTTAGTCTTATTACCCATATGGGCTCAAATATGCAGTGTAATAACTTTTTGATATTTGCACAGTGTGCAATTAGTGAATCTCGAAGCTGATTGGTCAGTGGAACAAAGATCAATTTTCATTGGACAACGGAACTATTTTTTTCTCATCCCATTCATTCACAAATACACGCCTTTCCCTTCAGATGTTTTACGTGCTACAATCTCACTGATTCGAGATTTTTAAGACAAGACACATAGTTTCATATTAACAACATGATTACACATTATCATTTTTTTCATTTATTTCACATGATTTTCATTTTACAGTAAAATCCAAAACTACGTCCCCGTTTGTAAACAAACATGGCTGGCCATTTGAGACCTGTCAAAGTAAATGACCTCGTTAAAGCGGACGGAGATCTGACTGACATGAAAAGTTATTCGTATAATTCAACCTCTGAACACATTTAATGTCTTTGTTATCAAAACTGCATATGGCCAGATTGAAGTTCCAAGATTCAGATTGTGATGTTGCCAGAAACTGTTTCTAGGGCGCAAAGATCATGACCACCAAGTCCTGGTTTGCGTCTGTGTTAGAGGGCTTGCTGTGTGATGATTTTTTCAACCACCCGGATCCAAAAACCGGACTTTGTATAGACAGGTTTGCCTTGTGAACGATGATGACATCGATAACTGCCAATGAAAATGAAAACACAATGAAAAAGTCTAAACTTGACAAGTTGACATGAACTTAGTTCACAAATGTATAAAGGTAAGAAAAGCACGAAAAATATGACTACTCACACTTTCAACGATGGCATGAGAATAAAAACAAATTCATTTTGCAACGACATTTAGACTTTCCGAAAGACATCATAAAGATACACTATTTCGTACAATTTTGTAACGTTGTGTGAAGAAATAAGGACGTGACACTTTTTTATACAATGTTTACGTTTTTCGTAACCGCGACGTCTGCAAAGTAAGGTGCTGAGCGGTATGCAGGCTGACTGACGTCCGGGGACCATATGACTATGAGGGTTAATGACACAGGAAAGGTGCAACTAAACATTATTATTTGCAAATTTATCATTTCGGCATGCACATCAGACAGTTCAGAATTCGAACTGTCTACTTTGAAGGAGATCAAGGGTAGCATAGAGTGTTACCTTAGCGACATGATTACCAGCATCTGGTTGCAAAATCGATGCACTTTGCTGAACTCGGAGGTTTTGAAATCAAAACAAAAATAATTAAAAATACAAGGAAAGGAAAACTTACCCCAGCGAGCTGATCCTGTGTCCGATATTGAACTAAATGAACTCCGTGAATGCGGACAGCTTAGCACCAAGTCTCCAGATACCGTGTTTGTCTATCAACAGGTATTCGACCATTATGAATCACATCAAAATATCAACAAACACCCGTCATCTGACTGTGTCCACTACGCGTTTGACAAATCCTCCTGAAATCCCACATGCACATGTTTCCCATCAGTGACACTTGTCTCAAATCACACACGATGTTAATTAAACTTGTTGTCCGGATTAAACTGTAACCGGTTCTCTTGTCATTCCTGGTTTCGGCTGTCTCATATCTTGGTCAAGTCGGGTCATTCATTCCGACACTGTGACAGCAATCGTACTTTTCAAAGTTTAGCTTCTTTTAGTAACTTTTCTCTAACAAACAAGACTTCTGTACATTCCGTCTATGTTGTTGTCAAATGACACATAAAAATATTGACAGGTTTTCCGTGTTTCCTCTTCTCAATGTGAAATGCGTGTATCTGCCGAGATACGAGATCTTGTCAAAACAAGCTTTGATTAAAAAACCTGATGAACCTTTTTGGAAACCTGTCTTCTTTATCAATACTAGATAGTGTACGCTGTGTAAATCGGACAGAAATATTACCGCAATAATGTGATCTTAACAATTTTTTAACAGACCTATATTTTTCACGCGTAACAACACGTTAATTGAGTAATGCGGTTGGAATGAGTGGACCGTGTTTCACACGCGGATTGATACAAAACAGCTGATTCTTGATCGGCGAGAATTGATTGTTTTTTTCTTGAAACATGTCCTTAATATGAATATGGGTAATAATTAGAATAACCCACTCGGTACGAGTGATTACGGAAAATATGTCACTCGTGAAATTAATGTTTTAAGTTCCTCGCTAAAGCTCGGAACAACATTAATTTCACTCGTGACATATTTTCCGTAATCACTCGTACCTCGTGGGTTATTCTGTAATTCCTCCATGACGCATCACAGATGAAATCTCGGGTCATTTCGTTTTCTGATCGACCAGGTCATCTTCTATGGTGGTGTTCTTTGTGAAACCATTTGCAATAAGAACAGTGATCTGATTGGATATTCCATCTTCATCACAAGGGAGACAACAAGATTCTACACGGCGCCACAATCAAGTCAAGACAAATAGGATTGAAATGTCAAAGTAGAAACTAGGTTTTGACAGAGGCTTTGCCTCGGGAAGATTGGGTTCCTCTTGCTGGAGCTCAGCAGTCATTTGTTTAAATGTAGCAACTACTCTGCAAAGTCAATCTCATTAAAATCAGATCTTAGTTCACGCTACCACTAAACACAGATCTGAGGACATCCCATTACGGGTCACGTCAGACCGGCCTTGCTCGAACTTTGACTTACCAATGGAATGACCAATCAGCAGGCAGCATTCTCGTGCTTTACAGCACTAATTTAAAATTGGCGTCTACGCTTTGCAACATATTTTGACAAATTCTCGATTACAAACTTGAAACCTAAACAAAAGAACATTCTGGAATGGCTAATAGATGGTCTAGATTGTATGGATTCAGTCGTTAAACCCGTAACTATCGGAATACCCCGTGTTAAAGTTATCGAGGTTGTATGATTAGAAATCACATTCCGACTGTCACTTTCATGATCTGGTAAGCGACGCTCTGATTGGTCGGATGAAAGATCATTCTGGCGTGACCCGTAATGGGATGTCTTCAGAACTTTGTTTAGCGGTAGCGAGAACTGAGGTCTGAATTTAATGAGATTGCTGCAAAGTGGACGTATATATTCACGGGTGATGAAGGAACGTAGTATATACAAACCTTTAAAGCTCGACAATGTCATTAATAAAGACATATCAACTGGTAAATGTTTCATGCTTCTGTTCCAAACTTGGTGCTTTGGATCTGTTAAATACAACCATTACCTCTATGTCTGTAAGGTTACTTTATAAACAGTTGTCTGGTGTTTTAGAAAGAATTAAGTTGAAAGTCATTTTATTGATCTATCTCTGTTGCTAGAGATCTGAAGGTATATTTAAGTCTGTCATTAATGTTTGAGCATGAAAGTGATATTGTTAAATTAAATTTACACTTTTATATTTTTATGAATCTGGCACTGAACCTAGCTTTTGGCATGGTAAGTCTGGATTTGTAACTGAAGTCAGATATTCAGGATATTACTGTTTATCATGAAATTAATGCATCACCTAATTTATGAGTGTGTCATTTATGAGTGAATGTGTTTAACATGACTGTAGATTCCCTGTTATGACAACTCCAGCATTGTTGCCATGTAAATATTGTGTAAAAAACCTGTCTTGTTTTGTGTTTACTTTTCATAATATGGACCACACTCGTCTGAGGCACAGCAATTCTCTCTGCAGACTCGATTACTTACATGCCACTGTCATATAGCTGGAATGAGTGCTTACGACAAGCATAATCGCCTTTTGCTGAAGACCTTTTCCTACCCCGGATCTTCACGGGTCGGTTCCAATGCATGCATTGCATAAAGGGGCCGCTTAGCCGCCTCGCAATGACACCATGATCCACCATATGATCTCAAATTCAACTCTGATTTATTTTAATCGGTGGCAAAAATAATTGGGCTGTCATATTCAAATTTTGCTGGTCCCAAAGGAAAGTTGACAAAATGCTAAAGAGGTTAATTCAACTGGAATTTAATCCAACTGCTGTACAATATTCATCCAATGGCAAACCCACATCAACAAGCTGACAAATGTCTAGACATACCGGTATGCCACAGTATGGTGATGCACATTTTGACAAACCAACATCTAATAATTTGTGATGTGTACAATCAACATGCTACATTCCTCCATCACCAGTAAATACACTGAACAAGCATCTGTTAGTATACTGAAAATAAAATGGTGAGGGATCATGAATATTTGGGGGAATGTTTTTATGAAATTGTGTGCTCAAGATTTTACCCCCCCCCCCAAATATCCCCAAAATATCCATGATCCTAACCACTTCAGTGTACTTACAGATGCTTTGTGTTGTAGTTGCTTTTTCTAAGCAATGAGTGAGTGAGTTGGGTTAAACGCCTCTTTTAACACTATTCCAGTTATATCACAGCGTGTCAGCTTACTGTGGGAGGAAAGCCCAAAGTGATGCAGGTCTCAGACGTTTACCACTTTGGTGAAACCCACGAGCACGGGTATGGTGCTGACAAACCTAGAAACATAATCGGGGTGAACTGGGATTCGAACCCACAATCAGGTTTCTGGCGTGTCCAGGGGACGCAACTCTGCAAAGCAAATCGCGACGACTGGGCCACCCGTGTCCCCTCTAAGCAATGACTCCATCAAACGCCTGGTTCCATCAGGGGACAACCAATGAGTGCTCTGATGCTCATTTGGGGCAGTCGGGTAGCCTAGTGGGTAAAGCGTTCGCTCTTCACGCTGAAGACCCAAGTTCGATTCCCGACATGGGTACAATGTGTGAAGCTCATTTCTGGTGTCCCCGCCGTGATATTGCTGGAATATTGCTAAAAGTGACGTGAAACCATACTCACTCACTCACTCTGATGCTCGTTTAGCTTCCGTGAGTTACACATGGCTGCCATTCACTACCTGACTGAAACTAGACAATCACACCGCATATTGACTAGTGGTGGGACAATACACTGATGCATCGGTGGATCGTGATATTTTACTTCTCGATACAAGTATCGATCACAGTCGCACACTAAGTAAAAAATATCGATTCTTACCTCAAATGTTTGGTTTAATAACTGTTCCAATAAACACTAATCAGTAGTGAAAACCTACATATTTTCAACCATTGCACCATGTTTAACACTGCCAACTGTAAATCATCAGTGTGCCAGGTATTTGGCCATCCTGTCTAAGAGGTGGCTTACAGACCACAGATAAGAGCACATGCAAATATCATGATACGTACCAAATCGTGTCGGAGGAAGGTAACGTGATAGGTATCCAATCACACGGTTGGTGTATCATCCCAGCCCTCATCTTGACCCAATGTATGCAATGTTGATGGAAGAACATACTGAACATCGGGAGAAATACTTTCTAAAAAAACATAATATAACATTTTGCCTAGTTTCATATATTTATTTCTGAATATACACAGGTCTTGTGTACAACCAGGGGTTTTATCAGTACAAAATATACATACAACAAACATATCTCATGGTGTGCTTTTAAAACTGTGAACAAAATGTGAAAACTGCCATGTCGAGTGCCTTACACTACGAACACCGTCTCTTCTTAAGTAGGGTCATTTTAATCAGTTCACTTAATGTTTCATCCAAGTTCGTATAAAACATACAATACCAAAGCATAATCGTATTAAATGTTTACTAAATGGGATCTTGCACAAATTTGTGCGACCTCTCTGCTGCATCAACAATCAAGTGACAACATGGGTCGCCATGATACTGGAGAGCTGCATATTTAATGCTGTTTGTGTTGAAAATAAATTGGATGCACGTGTAGCAATGAATATACTATATTTAATGAAATTAATTCCAAAGTGTAATGTAAAAAATAACATACACAATCGATTGCTTTATGATCTTCTTACGCTAGCACTGTTATCAGAGCCACTGATATAACTACAAGATAATGACATCACTTCTGGACATATTTTATTTCAAGAAAACAAGTCAACATTCCATATAGCCTTGATTATCCAGTGTGATATATCTCCATTCTATTATCATCATTATGATAAATTCTGTGCTAAGTAAGATAGGAGTGATGGCGACATCACTCCCTAAACGAAGCCATGGTGGCAAATTAATGAGTGAGGATGGTTTTACGTCGCTTTAGCAATGTTCCAGCAATGTCACGGCAGGGGACACCAGAAATGGGCTTCAAATTGTACCCACGTGGGAGTGACGAGTGAAAGCCTTAACCCCGAGGCATAATAGAATAGAGTGAGTGAGTGAGTTGGGTTTTACGCCGCTTTAAACAGTATTCCAGTTATATCACGGCGTGTCAGCTTAATGTGGGAGGAAAGCCCGAAGTGATGCAGGTCTCAGACGTTTACCACTTCGGTGAAACCCACGAGCACGGGTATGGTGCTGACAAACCTAGAAACATAATCGGGGTGAACTGGGATTCGAACCCACAATCATAGGTTTCCCGCGTGCCCAAGGGACACAACTCTGCACAGCGAATCGCGGCGCCTTAGAAGACTGGGCCACCCGTGCCCCCTAACAGAATACAGATATAGCACACTTGACAATGGAGTGAGTAACAGCCTGTGTCTTCTTCCGTTGTAAAATCCGGGTAAAAGTCTATGATACCATTCTGATCCTTTAGTTTTGAGTTTCTGGGATCATTGAGGGAGACAACTCCGTCAGTACGAGGCTGTCATTATCGCCTGTTACATACAGCATCCAACATCTCAAAATCCAACTGTGGAATATCAGACTCCGCAAACATTCTTTGTCACATGAGAATCTGGCCATCAGAGTCAACTCGCATTCTGTCACATGGGTATTCGACTCCACCCATAATCTGTGTCACATGACCACGAGACTCCATCCACATTGTACGTCACAT